AAAAAATTCATAAAAATACTAAATATAATAGTGTGGGATATTTAGAATTATTTTGACTGTTGTCTGTAGTTTTTTTCCAGAATTCTGTATACCTAAAATGAAACAAAATATAAGTAATAGCTAATGAAAAAGAAAATAATCAATTATAAAAACTCTTTAAACATAATATTTGATTCTACAAATTTGTACTTTTATGATTCAAATTAAAAATGTTTTCAATGACATTAGTAAGAAGTAGGTGTCACTACGAAAATGTTGTGAAAAATAGTTTTTCATTTATAGATTATAAAAAATTTATATGAATGGTATAACCTTTGTGCCTAGATATTTTATAGTGATTTTTAAATGTTCAATAATGTGGCATTAAATTCTAAATTTATACACTAAATCTTTGTATGTTATTCTCGTTGTTAAGTAATATGTAAGATATTTTTTTATGTCTATCATGACATATTATTTATTTTCTCATTTAATATTTTTCACTGGTCGGAAACCAATTACCTATTGTTATTTTGTTGAACTTTCAAGAATACATTTTATWAAGTAGCCTATGAGAAAATGAAATCTAGTTCTTTGTTATTAATATTACATTACATTGTTTTAAGGTCTTGGATTTCTTTTACCAATTTTGTTTATGTATATCAGAGATTCATATTTTTTATAATGTACTTAAATATTTTTGCATGTTTGTAAATTAGTTTATTAGGTATCAAAATTAGAAAATGATAAATGGAAAGAGAAGCCTTAACATGTTAAGTGCCATGCGACTGCCAGTGGCCTTACTTAATGGTATTTTTAAAACGTTATCGGGGTTTTTATGTTGTCATTCGTGAAATGCTATCAKCATTATCTCGGGAAGTATTTGGTATAAAAATATTATACCAATTAATTTTATAAAAATTATATATAAATATATAATAATAATAATAATATAAATATATTATTTATATATAAAAATTTAATTATATTAAGTTTGTATGCAAATTAATTACGAGATTAATTATATTCAACAAGTTATTAGCGAAGTAAATAGTATTTATTTTTTTGGTGCAACTTTAATTTCAAACAATTTTGAAAAATAGACCCGTGTACAATAAAATGTAAACATATGTTGGGTGTGGGAGATAACAGTTCACAAAACTTTTGTGGATACATTTTTTACTTTTATTTATTTATTGCTATTAATAATTAATGTCTCATCCAGATTAATGTATTGACTGAACCATCAAGTTTTTACTTTAATTAGAATAGATATGTAATGTATCCTTCTGAAAGAAATTATGATTCTCCTGTTTATCTATATACTCTATTTTAATTATTTATTCAAATAAATTATGTTTTCCATTATTTTGCCTTACACCAATATTGTTAATAATTWAATTTAGTTAAAATAAAATATTTAGGTGTGTAATTCAAAATATATGGAAAATGTGTTGTGCAGGTTGAAAAATTCTTTCATAAATACTCATTATTAGTTTATTACATGTCATGTATGCCATATTTTGTTTTATTATATGCATAATACATTAAAACTGTATGTAATGAGTGTATAAGTTATGAGTTGCACTTGACTGTTGTTTTTTGTTATTATTAAAATTATAAAAGATGTAATGAAATTGTGTTTTTAGAATTTATAAAAATATTTATATTTTTAGGTTCTTTGCCTATGCAGTTTGTTGGTCAATCACCTAACCAAGTTCAAGAATCTAATTTTGTAAGTGACCTCAGACTAGTGCAACTAGAAAAACAACTTAATATAGAATTAAAGGTAAATTATATAAACAAACATTTAATTCAATTATTTGTACAATGAAATGTATTTTGTATTTTCTTCAGGTCAAGCATGGAGCTGAAAATATGATYCAAAGTTTAAGTAATGGCCATTCGCGAGATAAAAAGTTATTAGCTGATGCCCAACAAATGTTATCTGATTCTAAATTAAAAATTGAATACCTAAGAATGGCTATTTT